AGGGTGGGGAACCCCACGGAAGGGAGGGAACTTGGAGTTGAGCCCTTCTCACTTTCCTGTTCTTCTCGTCCACAACATGGAAAATTGTTTGCACAAAAATAATAGTAAAGTCCTTAAAGACATGGAGTGGAAAGGTCTCTGGTATAACCTGGGAGCCCAGGTGAACAGGGAGAGAGACTTGTGCTGCAGCTGCATAAATTGGTTGCAGAAAGACAGTCAAAAGGAGGCAGGCAGGACAAGAAGACAGGCGGGCCGGGCCCAGGGGCTTCCACCTGCAATCCCACACTTTGGGAGGCTGAGGTAGGGGATTACTTGAGCCCCGTAGTTGGAGGCCAACCTGGGCAACAAAGTGAGTGCCAGTATCTATGAAAAATCAAAAATTTAGCCGGGTGTGGTGGTGCACACCTGTGGTCCCAGCTACACAGGAGGCTGAGGCAGGAGGGTCGCTGGAGCCCAAGGAGCTTGAGGCTGCAGTGAACCGTGTTTGCGCCACTGCACTCCAGTGCATGGGCAGCAGAGTGAGACCCCTGTCTGGAAAAAAAAAAGAAAAAAAAAAGACAGGACAGGAGACCCCCACTGAGTCTTAGTCTTCACATCTGTAAGATGGGTACAATAAATACCTACCTCTGCTAGGCGCAGTGGCTCATGCCTGTAATCCGAGGTGGGCAGATCATGAGGTCAGGAGTTTGAGACCAGCCTAGCCAACACGGTGAAACCCCATCACTACTAAAAATACAAAAATTAGCCAGGCATGGTGGTGCACACCTGTAATCCCAGTTACTCGGGAGGTTGAGTCAGGAGAATTGCCTGAACCTGGGAGGCAGAGGTTGCAGTGAGCTGAGATCACACCACTGCACTCTAACCTGGGTGACAGAGCATGACTCCATCTCGGAAAACAAGCTTAGACAAAACTGAAGAAAGAGTTAGTTCCTTGAAAGATAGATCTGAGGAAATCAGCTAGAATGAAGCTTAGAGAAACAGAGACGAAAAGCACAAAAATTGGAAAATTCAGTTGAGAAACAGGAAAGGGATGGTTATACAAAGTTAGTTCAGAAAAGTCACCAAATGAATGACAGCAATTACACTTAGATGGCAGCAACAATCCCTGGTGAGGGGGGAGGATCTGATTTCCAGAGTTGCTACATTATAATATTTGAAATGTCCAGTTTTCAACAAAAAAGCTACAAGGCATGCAAAGAAGCAAAGAAAGTGTGGCCCATACACAGGGACCAAAAAAAGGAATTAATAGGAAGTCATCCTTAGGAAGCCCAAGCATTGGACTTACTATACAAAGACTTTGAATCGACTCTTAAATATGCTCAAGAGCTAAAGAAAACCATGTACAAAGAGCCAAAGGAAACTATGAGCATGATATCTCACCAAATAGAAAAGAGAAATAAAGAGAAATTATAAAAAGGAACCAAATAGGCCTGGCGCTGTCTCTTATACACATCTAGATGTGTATAAGAGACAGCTCATATACAAGGGATCCTCAATAAAGTTAACAGTGGACTTCTCATCAGAAACCACAAAGGCCAAAAGGTAGTGGGATGATATATGCAAAGTGCTAAAAGAAACAAAAAAACTTGTCAACCAAAAATTGTATATCTTGCAAAACAATTTCTCAAGAAAAAAGGAGAAATTAAGACGTTCCCAGATAAACAAAAACCAAGATAGCTTACTTCTAGTAGACCTGCCATTTAAGAAATGCTAAAGAGAGTCAGGCTGGAATAAATGAACACTAGACAGTAACTTGAATCCATGTAAAGAGATAAAGAATAGGCCAGGTGCAGTGGCTCATGCCTGTAATCCCAGCATTTTGGGAGGCCAAGGCGGCGAGATCCCAAGATCAGGAGTTCGAGACTAGCCTGGCCAACGTGGTGAAACTCTATCTCTACTAAAAATACAAAAATTAGTCTGGCATAGTGGCATACACCTGTAATCCCAGCTACTCAGGAGGCTGAGGCAGGAGAATCCCTTGAATGCGGAGGTTGCAGTGAGCCAAGATTGCACCACGGTACTCCAGCCTGGGTGACAAAGTGAGACCCCGGTCTCAAAAAAAAAAAAGACATAAAGAATACCAATAAAGGTAATTACATATGCAAATGTAAAAGTCACCATTAATAATACATTTTTGGTTTAGTAACTCTTCTTTCCCTTTCAAATGATTTAAAAAATAACTGCATAATTCTAAATATATGTCAGTGCACACAATGTATATGTATGTAATTTTTAATTAGAACAAGATGGGGGATGAGCCAATATAAAAGCAAAGTTTTTGGATACTGTTAAAATTAATCGGAATTCTGTTATGAATTAAGATGTTAATTGTAATCCCTAGGGCAAATAATTTTTAAAAAACAAAATATATATTTAAAGAGAAGGAAATCAGAATGGTACACCTCCAAGTACCTAACACAAAAGCAGCAGTGAAGGGGGTGGGCATGGTGGCTCGTGCCTGTAATCCCAGCACTTTGGGAGGCCAAGGCGGGAGGATCACCTGAGGTCAGAAGTTCGAGACCAGCCTGGCCAACATAGTGAAACTCTGTCTCTATTAAAAATACAAAAATCAGCCAGGCGTGGTGGTGGGCACCTGTAATCCTACCTAACTCGGGAGGCTGAGGCAGGAGAATCGCTTGAACTAGGGAGGCAGAGGTTGCAGTGAGC